CTGGTGCAAATTACTGACCTCTGTCATCATTTTAGGTGGGGGAACTTGCACAATCGGTGGCTGACTAAATACTTTTTTGCCCCACTGTATAACATCTAACCAGATGCTTACTCTGAATGGCATTGCCTTGGCTTCCAGTAACACTGTGAGGAAACTTGGAGTAAAAACTCATCTCACAGCCCATTGTTCGCCAGTGGTGATAGTTTCAGTAATTGTGCAAAGGTATGTTTTATAAAGCTGTGGAAACCTGCAGCCAGCTGAGTCTAAAGAATTCACTTGGATAAGTGAGGAAACATTTCTCCCACTGAAAACATCCAGATGAACAGAATCAAATTTTTGGGATTAAAAAGTACGCTTGTCTTGACTGCTTGGCTGTCTCCGTCCACATCCTTGGGTTGCTTTTTCTGTGCTGTGTCACAGATGTTCAAAATATTTAAGAGATAAACAAGAAAACTGCTTAGTTTCTGTTAGAGCTACCAATTTAGATAAACACAAACCTAGTGCAACTAAATCAATAGTGCTACAGCAAATGTAGTAATATTTACATAGCATTTTTCTAGTCTTACTAAGCACTCACAGAATTTGATCCTACAAGCCACATTTTCATATTCACACAAAGAGACTTTAATACATCACTTTACTCTATGCCTTTTAGCACTTGTGAAAAATCTAACATTCACACTCACAAGTCTGATGAACTGGGAAGAATTTAGGATTCAGTACTTTGCCCAAGGACAATTGAGGACTAAAACACTGACCCCCCCAATGAGTAGATGACCCTACTCTAAACATGCTGGAGCACATTTACGTGGCAGACATTAAGAGCTGTCTAGAGATTTTAAAGGGCAGAAAATGCTGAAGAAATGCAGGGCAAAATGCAAACGGTCACTGGACAGCTGTACTGTGATACGGCTAGATGTGAAGTGACCATTATGCTTATATTACTAGCGTGCTAATGAACTTCAGGAGGAGCATGACATCACTTTTATTTGCACCAAAAAAGGGTCACACAAAGCAACACAGAATTAGTACACAGCATTTTAACGTAATCAAATATTCTTAAAAGACTCCTTAGAGCACCACCCTTTACTTAAAGCACTCACGGGTTTAAATTCATCATAGTCATATGTTGTTTGTTTTTGTCTTCTTTCTGTCCAAGCACTGCTCTCTGGCCTGCAGCTTCACTTCCTGTCCTCTTGTATGTCAAACTGTCTTTTGGATTTGGTGGATTCCACCATGAGTTCATACAGTTGGCTAATCTGTTCATCCTGGAAATCATTGAGCTTTTTCTGTGACAAGTGGTCTCCAAACTTTACTGAGTTGTATCTTTCCCCAGCTGACTCCAGAACCTGAGTCTGCAGAGTGTTCTTGTAGTTCTGCAAGGGAGATTGGGGATGAAGGAAACAAACATCAGGTTTGAGCATTTAGCATCTGCTCTCCCACACACTTATTAAACATTGTGGCTGCTAGATTTCATTTATTGCCATGAAATGAAATATATACATTAACATGAATGGAAAAAAATCTTTATTGGAAATAACTATATTCAAATGATCTGAAATCCTGTCTTCCTTTTTGAATCAGTGAGAAACGTTTCATATATTTTTTATTGTTTCTTTGGATTAGGGCCTAATTTAAATCACGCTAAATAACTACTAATCATCAAATCATTGCTAAAACAGCATCCAGTGGTGTAGGAAAATGAGGAAAAGCAGTAATATTAATCAAATGACATGTATTTAAATGTTCTTGAGCAGTAACGGATATTCATGATGCATTTTTTGCTATGCTTGAGATCCTCGAGCTCAAGGTCACAGGTCATAAGTCACCAGAGGTCGAGAGGAGATCACCCCGAGTAAGTGAAATAGTTACAGCACCTTCTGGTAATTTTTTTTTTTTTAAATACACGTAGAATACTGTGAGAAGACAAATTATTTCATATTTTGTCATTTTCTGTCTCTATTTTCAACAATGCGTTAACATAAGGATGATAATTTATTCTAATTGCAAATTTAACCAAATGTCTATTGGACTATGAAGTAAAATGGTGAAAATCTGCAGATAAAGAAGACAGTCGGCACCTGTACCGTAATATCTGAAATATAGTGCAACAAAAGTCTAGCCGCGGCTGGCTTGACCGCCGTGACCCGCCTTACCTCCCACTCTGTCATGAAGCTCTTGACCTCCTTGGGTCCTGCACTCTTATGTCTTCTAAACTCGTCCTTCACATATTGGTCACCAAGGGCTCGGAGCTCTATGGGCAGGAAGCGGTGCAGGACCAAAATTCTCTTGTAAAGTGAACGGACTGTGGAGACGTGAGCGCACACCGCCATCAAGTGCACAGAAACCGTATCTAACACGGCAGGGTTAAAGAAATAAAGGAAAACGGCGACAGACAGGACACAGTACCAGACCACAACATTCCCAAGTACAATTACTCAACTGAAGTCCGGAAATTGGTCTTCTTCGTTTAGTCAACAAAGTAGTTGACTGGCGCATTTTCGCCCCCTCCTGGGTGCAGTAGACTATTTCAGCCGAAAAACCTTTTTATTGGAAAGTATTTTCATCTCTTAACTTTTAAAAATTACTTCATCAAAATGAAAACTTCATGTTTGATTATGAACGAGAGAAGCAAGCAAGATCAGCAGCCAGTGTGGCTGATTCTTTGTTGTATCATGAAAAGTCTGCTATGAGAAAACTCTTATCATCTTTCTGTAATTTGATGATTTTTTGTTTGTGTACGTTTCTTTATAGGCAGTCCAAATAGACATTATTCATTCTCATTTGATCAAGTCCCAGAAACTACTTTCTTGTTGTTATTTCAGTTTTGGGCATTTAAGCTTTTATGTCTACATACAAACATCTATGACATGTAGTTTAGGTCCCATCTTCAATTTACAAAATATGGCTCTCTTTGAATTCCTGGCTAGAGATACAAAAGACATGATCATTTTTCAGTTTCCTCCAAATGACTCTCATTAAAATCACTGTCGTCACTGTTTAGCTTTTCTATCAGCCTCTTCAATCCACTGCAGTTCTTGATAGAGATTAAAAAAAAAAGTTGAATATCAGTTGACAGCTGGATTTGAAGGAACTTAGCCTCAAAGACCTGGAAATTCATTTGATTGCGATACATTTAGAGGAGTTAGAGTTTTCACTGAGTAAATATCATCAGATTGTCCTCAGTGTCTCTATTATCAAACCAAAGGCTTTAAAAAGGTAAAAATCTTCCTCACAACTGTAAATCTCTCATATAACTGAAATTTGGGGACACATGCACACATACTCTACTCTACTAAGTTTTTATTGAAAATTATGCACTTTCATGTCTCATTGCACTCTGAAATGAAAAGCATAAGCAATAAGCAATTCGAGTTCAAAAAAGAAGTAATGTAATTTATAGACCAAAATATATTCTGAACTTTTGACTCATCAAAGTAGCCACTTCTTGCAGATATAACAACTGAACACACACCTGGCATTATTTCTACAATAGAAATCAAAGATTCTTTAGAAAGTTCTTCCCAAATCTGTTGCAAAGTTCCCATAAATGTGGACCTTGTAGTTTGCTTTGCTTTCACTCTTATATCCAGTTCCTCCCAAACCAGCTCATTTGGGCTT